TACCAAAGAAGATTTGGCAACTGTCGAGGAAATGCTCGAATGTTCAAACTAAAGTGGATAGTGTTGTTGCACGCGAGGTCATTCCCGAAGAAGATAGAATCAAGAAAGAGGACCTTGATGCTATTGAAATTTTACTTCACAATACAAAAGCCAAACTTGATGAAATTGATCCCGAACAAACTGCCAAGAAGGAGGATGTTGAGACTATGGGCGTGTTTGTTGTTGAGGCCCGAGACGGTATTACTTTATTGACTGAGCAACTCGAGGATGTTCCTAAGAAAGATGCCATTAATTCGATTGAAACTGCAGTGCGTGAGGTTTTGGTTGGTCTTGCAGAGATAAAAGAGCAGGTCAATACCGAGTTCAAAAGTCTTGACAAGGTTACCAAGACAGACGTTGAAGCTGTCGAATCTGTATGTCTCGATATCAAATCTGCTATTGAGCAAACGGTCGTCCCGGAATTTGCAGCTTTAGCCACAAAAGATGAGGTCAACGCGCTAGGTACCTTGGTCAAGGAAACCGCAGGCCGCATTGAAATACACGCAACCACGAATGCTAAAGCTTTCGAAGAGCGACAAGCGGAGACTGTTGGTGTTAGCGAGCGTGTCACAGAAGTCAAGTCTTTCCTCATAGAATTCAGGGACGCAGTTAAAGAAAAGCTTGATGAAGGCAAAACGAATGTCGAGTCTGTGCGCACATTCCTTGAAGGCCTAGGAGAAACTATCAATAAAAATGGAACCATCTCCGAAGATTTACAGACAATGTTCCATGCTATGACAGAAGAGTTCGAAAAGACTAATGCTGGTATGGTTGGATCTAAGCTCGAGACTGACGAAAAATTCCAACAAACCTGGGATAAACTTGATTCGCATTTCGAGGAGAAATTCAGTGAAATCATTACCAAGTATGATGAGCTCCAGAACTTCCTAGAAGAAAGAGCTACAGCTGGTGTGGAGAAAACTACAGAAGTTGAGGCTAATATCTTGAGCACAAAACAAGTGGCCGAGGATGTCAAACTTCTACTCGACACATTAATAATTGCTGTGGCAGAGTCTGCCGAAAAGATGGAGGAAGCTTCAAAAACAGTCTTTAACCGTGTGGACGAAACTTTCGTCAAAATCGAGGAAACACACGCCGATGCTAAGGCCGAGCACCAGCTTACACGTGAGCAAATATTGAAGACTTTGGGTGTTGTGGAAGGAGTTCAGGGAACTGTGACAGAGTATAATCCGCAGATTCTTGAATCGATCAAAGATGTTCTCAACATGGCCGTCCAACATTACGAACATTCTAAGACTTCAGCAGAGACGATCCAAAAGAAGATTGATGACATTCCTCCGCCACCTGAGATTCCACCTCCTGTCGAGTTTCCAAAATACGATGACACACCTGTTCATGAGAAGCTGGATAAGCTAGCTGATCACGTACAAGAAGCTGGAAAGTCAATAGCACAACTGGAAATGCTTGAGAAGTTACAAAAGCAAATGATGGCAACTGCTGCAGAAGTTTCTCAGTTTGTCTCCACTCAAACTCAAAGGATTGCAGACGACCATGAGAGTAAGGAACAGGCTGCTGCAGAAGCCGCCATTGCTCTCGAGAAACGCCTAGGTCAAAAGGAACAAGTTGAAGCGTCAATTGCTTCGCTTAAAGGGGAAGAAAGGGTTTTGAAAGATTATGTTGCGAAGCTTAAAACTGATAAAGAAGATTTGATCCATCAAAAGATGCGACTTGCCTCTGATGTCTCTAGTTTGGAGACAGCCTTGAGAATTCGCCGTGAAGAATTGCAGGAAATGGAAGAAAGAGCCGAAGGACTTGAAAGACGTATCCTTGAAGGAGTCATTGATCAGTCTCGGGCTCTTTTACTAGCAAAAGGTAACAGAAAAGTTGGACGAGATCCTATGAGCCGCAAGCGGGTTTCTACTCAACGCAATTCAACGGCTCATTCTGTCGCCTCAAGCGTCGCATCGAAAACTCCATCGATAACCCAAGAAGCCATCAATATCGCTATGAAAAATCGATCTCCGACTAAGGGACCTCTTGCCAGTCAAGCCCAGCGACGTATTCTTTCCTTAAGTCAAATCAACAACAATCTTCCCGCTGGCAACTTTAAACGCAGCCACAGTGTAAAACAATCAGGTGGTACGACGCCACGCAAAACCAGCTGGGGAGGAGCACCTAATAAGACTCGCAATTATGGGGAATTGAACAAGGAAAATTTGGCCTTGAAAGAATTTGAAGACGAAGATGAAGAAAATAAAGAACCGCTTGATCATGATAACGTGGAAAGGACCGGACACGAAAGTGATTCAAATACGATGAGGAGAAGTAGTCATGGGACTACTGTCATTACAGCTAATGGAGGTACGGATAGGGGTTCGGAATACGCGGAGAGTATAGATGGAAGTAGAGATGCCAACTCAGAGTCGGACTATGAAACGGAGACGGATTTGGGAACTAATAGTCATTTGGGAACGGAAAGTGAGTTGTCGAATAGTAGTGCGGGGCAGAGTAGTGCGGGGCAGAGTAGTGCGGGGCAGGAATACAATCCCGTGGTTTTGTACGAGGGAGAGGTCGCTTAATTTTCGATGAGATGAAGCGCCGATATCAATGTGGGAAGGAACAGTGTTGGATTAATAGGGGCAGGAAGGAGGTTTGTCTTGTTTTGATTGATCGAAGGTTTACTAAAATAAACGTCTAATTCTTGTATCTTTCTTGGTTTGCGTTGGGGGAAAGGGGTGGATATTTTTCTTCTTTTTTATTTTTTTTTGTTTTTGTTCTTTGCTAGGAAGCGAAGGGGAGTGGAAACGGGCTTGCGGCAGGACCTACTTATACCCATGCGGGTTTCTTGATGAAGTCCTAAAGTTTTTTTGATTGTACTTTTTTTTTATTTATTCATTTATGTTTCTTTTAATGAAATAGCGTTTTAGCGATTAGTAGTATATCTTATTTACATTTTTGTTGTTTGTGGTTCTTTTTTTTCATTATTTTTTCCAGAGATTCCCTTGGGAGGTAGGTATACACTAGGTAGTAAAGTAGTAGTAGTTAGTATTAGTACATTTTTCTCTTCTCAGCTCTTCTCTCGTGCTATCTCGTCTGGTATCAATCATTCATTGCATGTGAGTACTTAGGTAGATATGTGAATCTGTCCCGTGAAATATCCTAGGCGATAACCCGATCAAATCCCATATCCTAAATACCAGCCCATCACTCGCTATTCTCTAACTCCCTAATCTCTATCTACTCCTTCTTCAGAACCTTCCTCCCACCCATCCAAGGCCAGAGACATTCAGGAACCCTAACCTCCTTCCTCTCCTCATCCCAACCATTCTCCAAAATCGCAGCCACAACCCTCGGCACCGCAACAGCCGTTCCATTAACGGTCCATGGAAACGCAACCTTGCCTCCATTCGCAGCAATATCAACTTTGGTCGCCAATCTCCTACTCTGGTAATCACCACAGATACTCAAACTAGTAACTTCGCCCCATCCATCATCCCTCTCTCTACGCGAAGGAAAGAAAGCTTCGATGTCTAGTTTTCTCATGGCTGAGGCGCCTAGATCCGTAGATGGCATTTCGAGAATTCGACAGTGTAGGTTGAGGGAGGTGAGGATTTCGATTTGGAGGGAGAGCATTTCGTTGAAGATTTCGGTTGTGGATTCCAGGGTGGGGAGCGTCCAGGCGAACATTTCTACTTTTGTGAATTCGTGCACGCGATAGAGGCCTTTTGTGTCGATGCCGCGGGCTCCTGCTTCGGCGCGGTAACAGCGTGATGTTGCGATTGTTTTTAAGGGGAGTTGCGACTCGTGGATAGTACTATCGGCTTTCATTCCCGCTAGAGGAATTTCCGCGGTTCCTGCTAAGGAGTAGGTTGGTTTTCCGCTTTCGGTATCGGAAGGCGTCTGCGCAATGGAATAGATTTGTTGTTCGCCAGATTGGTCGCGCGGTTGGAATCCACAAGCGGATGCGATGTGCGAGTAAATCATTGTCGGGGGAGAGACTATAGACCATTTTTTGGAGAGGGCGAGTGAAAGAGAGTATTGGATTAGTGCTTGTTCGAGGAGCGCCGCGCCGTTGAGTAGATAATACCAGCCCCAGCCGGAGGTAGTGGCTGCGGAAGAGAAATCGAGAAGATTCAATTCACTGCCTATGTGTACGTGAGAACGCCATACTCGATCGGAGGAGGATGGGACAGGTTCCGGGTGCTCGTTAATGGTTCCTATTACTTTTGGTTCTGAACCACGCGGGGTGGAATCAGATGTAAGATTTGGGATAGCGGATGCGAGGGTATTGATTTCTGTCATCAGAGCAGTCTCCGAAGACTCGATTTGAGAGATTTTATCCTTCAGACTTCGTGCTTCGGCGATTATCTCTTCTTTAGAAAGTGCTCGTAAACTTTGCGCTTCTTCTGAATCATCATTTCGTAATGATTTCGGATTTGCCAATTGAAGCTTTAATTTATTATTCCTTTCCCGTAACGCTCTCCCATCGCGTTGATGTTCGTGCCATTTTTCAAATAAACTTATTATTTTGGCTGGATATGTAGACTGAAGCTTGTAATTCCTTTCTATACAGCTCTTTTCGTATAATTCGGGATGAGTTCGTATGTGTTTGATATCGATTGATTGTTTGGGCGCGATTGAGGGTTTAGGTATTTCGGAATGTAACCGTGGAGAGACATGATAGAGACGACGAGGAGGTGAGCGGGTGAGAGATTGGAATTGACATCGTAAACATGTGAAGCGTTTGCTGGTTGACATTTTGGATACTGAGGGAAAGAAGATGGTGGGATGATATTATTTTTTGGAAGCTTAGGTAGAGCTGGAACTATGGTCCGAGCTCATTATTTGACAAAACTAAAAATGCGGGGTTTTGTTCGGCGAAAGGATTTTCCATGTTCCCACACCAAGACTCCGCAACCAGCTAACTCCAAGTAAAAAAAGAAAGTGCAACAAAATGAAATTGTTCAAAAACTAATTCTGCGATCGGATTCAAACCAATCATACTCAGGGTAACTCCCTACGTAGGGCTCGAACCTACAGCCTCAAGATCGATTCATATATAGAAATTAATTCCACTTAGAAGTCTTGCGCGCTACCATTGCGCCAGCAGGGAAATCATAGAGATTTCTTATCAGGTTGATGGGGAAGCGGGCCTTATTTTCATTAATATCTTCTTACATTTAGCCTCGCCAATTTCACACCGCTTTTATTCCGCCTTTCCTAACTTAAATCTTGAACCGACGAACACCAAAACAAAAGCTTTAGAACATTGAGATTCTTCATAAGGCTTTAAGATTTCTAATGATTAGATATCCAACCATTGGCCCCAATTCGAAATATCACAGCGTGTTTTAAGTCCTAGTGGGATTTTGGTGTTTGGCATTTTCTCCAATCTAAAGCTTTTCTGCAAAAAGTTGAGGAAGAAACCCATAGTGTGGAATGTCTGTCAAAGGTTCTTAATGCTGTCCAAAAGACCATCAGCATCTGAAGAATCCGTACATGTTTGAAACAAGCCAAAAATCGAGACGTTTTCATTTTAACCATGTGCACTTCAATGTTCTGTACAACTCAAAAGAGTGAAAGTCTTTTCTTACTGCTAAACTTCAATCCGACTATCAGAAACCCTAATTCACAATAATTGATCATGAATTCCAATTTATGAGTGCTCTGGCTAATTTAACTGTTTTGTGAGAATGTTGTACCGATATATATCCAATAATTACAGCAAAATGACTTACCTAGGTTGCCTGGATAATATAGAATTCAACATCACTCCATCTGAGCATCTGCTCAATGATGGGCCTCGTTTTCTCTGTTTGATTCATAATTTGGACACATGATAGTAGTAGGATGTGGGTTTCATTATATTTGAGATAGAAGTAGTAGATATGCTCTACCTACGAGAACCTTCTCTTTTCAATTCTCCTGATGTTTCCTTTCTCGAAGATCCCTCGTGATAAGTTTACCATGCTTTGGAATTCGAAGTGAGAGTGACTAATTTTCTGTTAATTTCCTTCATCTGGCGGAACAAGCATAGGAGCCGGTTTTAGGGTTATGTGTCTCATATTTTATTTTGAATGCTAATGCAAGTGAAGGCTGTGCCGCATTTTATATTAATTCGATGCATATCACCTCAGTAATACATAACGCCAACAGTTGGTAAGTCCTCAACCTGTCAAGAGCAGTACATCCGCCGCATACAGATAATTACAAACCAATCAGACCAAACATCCGCTACCCAGCTTGTTTTTATTCATGCTTTATCAAGCTATTAATTGAACGTTACCACTAACATAGACCCAACAGTCACCAAAACAATGTAGTAAGTCAAATGGAGGCTCGCAAATTGTGGTTCTTATCCAGGACCAAGCACCAGGTAACTAGACTCTGGAAAGGAGGGAGATAGAGCAAACTCTGGGCTATTATATGGTGTCCTCGTACAGCACGCTCGATATCCATCTCCTCAAAAGTATCTTTCCAACCAAAATCCTGTACCAAGCCGTGTCAAAATATGTTTCAACTCGAGAGCATGAATGGATCATTTAGGACTCAGCTGCTTAGATTTGCCAGTGCCGTATTTGTCGTACTTATCACTACATTCTTGATAAAACTTTATCGAGCGCGAAGCTTCATTCGAGGACTTCAAAAGCAAGGTCTTGTACGTTTGAACTCCCATAGTTAATGAACCAAGTAGATCTTTACTCTGAATATTAGCTAACCAATCCAAAAGCCTATGCCCCCGCATCACTGGTTACTTGGACACATACCTCTCAGTGCAAGCATCATTGGCAACCTTCCTCCATACGCCCATGGCGTCTATATTGGAGACCAGATTCGGCAAAGATATCCTCATCTCGACAGCGCCTTTTACCTGGACAATTGGCCCCTCGCTGCCCCAATCCTCGTCGTACTCAAGCCGGATATGATGTATCAATTGACTCAAGCAAATCAAATACCAAAAGACAAAGGCATTCGTACTTTTCTGAAACCTTTGACCGGCGAGTCTGATTTAGTTACTTTGGAAGGCGATGCCTGGAAATATTGGAGAGCCATATTTAATCCTGGATTTAGTGCTAGTCATGTGTCAACTCTTGTTCCTGGAATGATTGAAGAAATTAAGATATTTAAAAGTCTGCTAAGAAAGTATGCTGAGAATGGCCAGATGATTTACCTTGAGGAGGCTAGTTTAAATCTCACAATAGATATTATTGGCAGAGTTGCAATGTAAGCTAACACTGCTTTCTTCCTGATAATTGACAAAATGCTAATGATCTTCACTAGGGATCATAGCTTCCACAGTCAAACAACCTACAACGACATGACAATAGCCTTACGAAGGCAACTACTGTGGTGCACAACAGGCATGAACATTGAGCTCTTGGAGTATATAAATATCTTCCGTCCATATGTTCACGCATACAACACATACAGAATGAACCGTTATCTTTCACGAGAACTTAACAAACGCTACCGAAGTATCAAAGGCAGCGAAATAAACAGAAAAGACAAGTCAGTTGTAGATCTAGCTTTGAAAGCGTATCTTGCAGAAAATCCTTCGGCAACCGGCATTGATAAAAGTTTCCAAGATTTCGCCATGGCGCAAATAAAATTATTCATTTTTGCCGGCCATGACACTACCTCTGCTGGTGCCATTTTCACCTATCATCTGCTCTCCCAACATCCGGAGATATTGGCGAAGGTTCGGGCTGAGCATACTGAGGTACTAGGGGCCAACATTGCGGATGCTGAGGCTGTCATTGCTTCTAAACCACAACTCTTGAATCAACTTACCTATACTATTGCTGTTATTAAGGAGAGTCTCCGTATATACCCTACAGTTGCCGCCCTCCGCGATGGCCAGCCAGACTTCCATTTAGTTGGAGACAATGGTCTTCGTTTACCAACCAACGGGACAATAGTCTGGGGCGATCACTATGCTGCGCATCACAATCCCGCACACTGGCCTCGACCCGAAGAATTTCTTCCAGAAAGATGGATTGTACCAGAAGGCCACGAGCTCTATCCTCCGAAAAATGGATGGCGCCCATTTGAGCGTGGTCCTCGAAATTGTATTGGTCAGGAAGTAGCCATGACGGAAATTAAACTTATGCTCGCGTTGACGATTCGAGAGTTTGATTTTAAGGATGCGTACGAGGAGTACGATGTCATGAAGGGCAATCCGAAAGGGCTGAATGTTAATGGGCAAAGAGCATATATGATGCGCCGAGGAGGAGGGCACCCAGCAGACTATTATCCTTGCAAAGTAGCTTCTGCAAGGTAGAGGAGTAATGTCTAGAGGAGGCAAACTGTGTTATGAATTATGGAGAATTCATCAATAATATCCTGTGATTCATACTGAACAATCTTGTATGCGAGAGTGATTCTAAAACGAGACATGACAGCTTAAACTCAAGGTAGATATCTGCAGATCGGAATCAACGTTTCAAAGAAAAACGCTCTAAACCCCACTAAGTTAAGAATAACGGAGAATGCGAATCTAGCACCGCCGTCATAACCTCAAATTTTCACTGGCATATACGAGCCGATTCGTGGCTTGGTTGTGGTGCATGTGTATGTCTTGGACAAACATTTCGAAACGAGTAATGTTTGGCAGGTGAGGAGCTTCTAGAAATTAATCCAAATTTCTATGGTCTTAATGGGCAACGGTCAATGGGAAAGGTGCCTTTGGACTCGAAAAAAAAGCTCCATCGAAGCCGTGCTAGCACTGGTGTATGGATTCCAACTCGCTGTGTACTATGTAGAGCTTCAAGCGTAAAACTAGCCAAATTTTTTTGACTTGAACAGGTAAAAAGCCTTTGGACTTTCGTTGCAAAAGAGCGATGTGTGTAGTAGGGCGTACCTGAGCGTGATGAGAAACGTAAGATTTTAAAAACATACTGGCTCATGCAGTCAGATTTACAATCCAACTCCGTACTGATGAACACCCTCAACACGACACAACTTGTATCATTCTATCGCATAGAGAAGGCAACAAACAGAGCATGAATTACATAATATGGATGAGAAATTTACTTTGAATTGGTGATAGGCAAACTCTTCTTCTTGAATCGGCCTTGCATCCAGCATCTATACATCTTTAGTTCCTTGGCTCTATTAACCAGTAACCTTCTATCCACGCCTAAATCAATTATATCGAAGCCACACTCTTGTTCTATCTCTGAGGCTTTGCCCTCAGCGTCTGACTCGGGAAGTTTTCCGGTCCAAATGTTGACCAACTCGTCTTTCTCGAAGAAATATACCCGAGTTCCATCTCCCCTGATGTAAAAGTTCTCTTCCAGATAACGACCTTTTTTGAAACGTACTTGAGCTAGATCACCGCGGCCGTAATCCCGAAATAGAACATCACCACCTGGTTTGAGGACTTTGAAGATATTTTGGACAGCCCGATTCCATTGGCTGGGGGAAAGTGCAGAGAAGATAAAGATCATGATCACAACATCGACACTACTTTCTTTCAATCCTGGGGGAAGATCATCGCCAGCAGCATCCCATACGTCTGCTTGTATATTCTTGGTGTCATATGCTTCGTTCGCACGTATCACTTCCACTGCTTTCTTGGAGAAATCGCAAGCATGGATTTTCAATTCAGGATTTTGATTATGTTTTAATATTGGATAAGCAGTGTTACCTGCGCCAGCACCAACTTCCAGAATGGTAACTGGTCCATAGTTTGACTCCGTCACTTGAGAAAGGATAGGAAATTCCTGTTGGAGCCATTTGCGGTCTTTGAAAAAATTGGCAGTGTTATTTTTATAGAAATTGTTCCACCATTTTGCGGGATCGGAGTTGAATCTATCTGAAACAAGTTGTTAGTGGTTGATAGAAACAAGCCATGAAAAAATTTCAAGAATTTGAACTACAGTCAGATAGGAGCGAAAGACATTGCTATATTTGTATCGTTCAAAGGCTAGTAACCTCAGATGAATTATGTTTATCGTCATAGTAGCACTGTACCAAAAGGATGACACAGTGTTTGTGGGGCAAGAGAGAAGCAGAAAAAACGTACTTTTGTCAAATTCCGACACAGGAGCTTCGCGTTGCTTTGCGTATTGTAGTTCTGCATACTCCTTGTAAGTATCATCAGTCTCGACATGGTCCCATGCATTGAACTCGAAGACGTTGTCTTGTTCACCCAGATATCGAGAACCAAACTGAAAGGGATCAGATCTTTTCATGTTGTTTTCTGGATTATGAGAACGATGGGGAAGTTCCGGGCGATCAGTAGCAACTGATGACTCAGGACCCTGGATGGTCAAGGAAGAGATATCCTCGACCGCAACAGTACCTTCGTTACTCGACGGAATGTCTTCCTTAGACATATTTAGCAATGAGAAACTTTTGGAATTAAGTTGTGGTATTGTTCGAATGCGAGGAAGAAACGAACGATCAGATAGAAAATTTATTTTATCGATGCGATCACTAGTGTATACGCTTGTAATATTACGGAAGGCGGTGATGTATTCTGCCAAAAGACTTTACCACTTTTAGCTATTTACTTCAGAGGCTTACAAAAAAAAAAGTTGAGCTCATTGATAAGGGAGGGGGCTCGACAAAATCGAATTGTACATGAGAGGTTTGAATAATGGTATGTATTCTTAGATGGCATGAACGTCAGTCCTGAAGAACAGGTTCTAATCATCATACAGGATTCAAAGTCTCGAATTGCGCAAGAAAAACTTGCAGGGCTTGAGAAAACCTCAGCGCCATTTGAGGAACAAATACGAGAAGCTGGAAAATTTGTTGATATCGATTTAGACAAGGTCGCAACCGCATTGGACTATCAAAAACACGAAGAGAAAGCATTCAAGCAGAAATGCGCGGCTGGCTCGTTTCATGGTAGGGAGGAATGGCTTTTGCGATGGCTTTTGAAGAAACTCCAGTCGCCAAAAGATAAAACTCCAAGGTATATCATAAGGTTTTGCATTGAGATCAGAAGCTAAGAATTGGCACTCAGGGTTACACCGTCATCGTGGCATCTTTTTCGTTTATTGTTAAATGCGATCCCGCTGGCGAATACTGCACGCATGCTTACCGATAAGAAGTTTATCGCAACCCTACAACAGACATTACAAGAAGCACAGGAGATCAGAGACGTCGACGAACCCTGTGTGGGAGCACATGATGATTCAATGTCAGGGTCCGACTCGAGAGAGACGTCCATCATCTCGAAGAAGCGCAAACGATCGGGAGAGCTGGTTACACACACGTATCATGGCCCAGCCAAGGGGCTGAGAGGCTTAGTTATGGCAATTCATAGTGCCATCCATAGTATTGTTCGGTCTACCAAAGTTTCTTTCTCGCAAAGTAAAACAGGCAATGGTAGAAGCACAGCATTCACCACGGAATACATGCGAGCGGTCGTGCGAACCACGCCTGAAGCGTCCGCAATGGTTCTAGGTTCTTGGATGTCCCTTTGCCAAACAATTCTAGGCCAAGAAGCTGGTCCAGCCATATCGTCTCACTTACTATCTCCATTTGTCGACATCTGGGACTACCGTGTGGTAGGAAGCGAAGATCTTATGCAATTTTCTCTTCATTGTTCGGAACCTTTGCTAGCATTGTTGAAAAGGACGAAGGCAAATACAGCCACAAGAGATTGGCAGACGACTTTGGAGAAAGTTATTGCTCGCAACATTATCATTCCCTCGAAAGCGAATGCTGGAGAGAAGCAAGATTCCACTCTATTGCAAAACTTAACGAGAGTACTAGTCTTGCAGGATGTTGCTAATGCTCCTATTCTTTTCGATGTTGCAACCCGGTCTTTGCAGCCCCATGGAGATCGCCGAAGACGGCCAGCAGACAATGCATGGCTTCAGATTGTATTTACCACATTAAAAGCTGCTATACCTCCAACTAAAACAAGGGCGCACAATCTTGCCATTCGCGAAATACTCCAGAACTGTATCCAACACGAAGTAGACCTTGGCCTCAGTGAACTACGAATTCTGGCGGCGGAGTATGTCATACCGGATGGAAACACAGATTGGAAGCTTTTGGAAACTTTGATGAAACTCGATGCAAATGTTTTCCTCATCCCCGATGACGAAAAAGATTTGTTGAACACTGTACTGGAGAGAATTACTAACATCTATTTCGACCAATCTTGGTCCGAGCAATCTCAACATATTGTATCTGAAATTGTCGTTCCTTTAATGCATGAGTTTGCAAAAGCTCGTGATTTATCCGGTTTCGTGCGCCACTGGTACACTCAGCTTGCCAAGTTTGAGCATAATCGAAAGGACGATGCAATGTTCACGGCAGATGCTTTTTGTGCTTGGGAGGATGAAGCATTACAGATTGAGCTTTCCAAGCTCCTTGAAAACTCATTGACTGTCCAACAAATAGTACAGCTAGTCGATTGGCTGGCTGTAGAGACTGCAAATGAGCCTGAAGCCGTGGTTACCGTTCTTGATGCCATTGCGAACTCAATTACAAGAGAGGATGTTGTAGATATCATTGGAACACGTCTATATCATGTGATTTTTGACAACGGAAATTTCAGCACAGTGGACGATAGATATAGCTGGCGAGCCTGGAGAGTCTTGACTAGATCCTTCCAATGGATGCAGCCTCCTCATTTGAATGAAATTACCGAGCTATGGGAGCAGCAAGCTAGCCCGTTCAGCATATTATCTTCCCAAACCTTCAGTCATAACGGATTATATAGTTTGGAAATCTTTAGATGTGCATGCTCAGCTTGGAATGCAGCTGAAAAAGGGTCGAAATTAGAAAGTCTTGCATCTCCAGTGGTTTTAAGTTGTCTTTCGCATCTGGGTCCTTCTGTTGATGCCTTGATTGACCGAAAAAGGGGAGACATTGAAGAATGGCCAGTTTATCTCAACGTCTTGTCACGAGGAGCCCAATGGACTGCATGGTCATTCTATAATTGCATATTTCAAGAATACCCCCGAGTCCTAGAGTAAGTATTTCTAAAAACTCCAATACATAAAAAGAATCTTGAATTAACGAATTATAGACTGGGCCTAAACCTACAAGACGATGTGTTTGCTTTGCTTCTAAAAAATGTTGTTTGGATAGCTTCCTTGTCCACAAACGCAGCAGTCGATCATGTATTGAATCATGGAGCATTCGCTGCTTTGTGGTTTGGAGTTTTGCGTCAAGATTGTGTACTCAATAACCCCAATGTCATAAGTAAGTCACTTCTTCACACCAGTAAATCAAGATTTTTGCCAACATATTCTAGGTCGTTTCATTGATATTCTCTTGGACTGCCAGACCCAAGAAAAAAATCCTCTTCTCGCTACTCCTACATGTAACCCTATAGTTGTTGAATCTCTAACAAAACTCCCACTCGAGGTTTTCAGCAGAAGGGATAGAGAGCGTATTATGCAAAGTTGGTCAATAGACGTATTGGCAAAATCCCCTAATTGTTATCCTGCTGTGCTAGCACTGAAACTGAAAATTATGCATCGCCCTACATTCTACAAGGTTAGTACAATTACCAGAACCGTCAACGCTGCTAACTCGGTAGTAGGGCATGAAATACAAAGATTTCGAAGAAGTCGAGAAATTAACTAAGAAAGTCGGGTTCGAGGAAATGCCTAAACGATTTGAAACTCTCTTTACCTCAAAAGAGCTTGTTAAGTTAACCTTGTCGTATGTACTATTTGCAGTATTATTCTTCTGATCGCTTACTGACTTCAATGAAATTAGCCATGTTACCAGTAACTTGGATCAGCCTCAAAATCGCACCTATATCTTAGACGCCATAAGTTATTTCCGTGATAAGCTCACCAAGCTTGCTAACGACGAGAAGAAATCTAAGGGCGAGAAGACTTTACCTTTTATCTCCACATCAAACTCGCTATTTAACGTTCTTATCGCCAAATCAAAACAGTTGCATGATCTAGCTATTATCAGCAATGAAGATTTCACAAAACTTTGCACATCCTTTAGGCAATTCCTGCTTGTTCATTTGCAACATCGACTAAAACATAAACCCAAGACGCACGAGCTTGGAAGCCACAGGGATGGTTCATTGTCGATCGTTGTCATTCTTCAAGCCCTTGAATCCCTGGACGTCGATTCATCATCACTTGAAGCTTTCGCCGCAGACGGCCAGGCATACATCACGAAGCTGAGTAAAGGTAATCCAGAAGTGGATTATGTACGCCAGCTTTTACCAGAATTCTTTGCTGCTCATGTATTGAGCAATGAAGATGGAACCCTCAATACTACTTTGGAAGCTTTTATTAATACTTCTGCTGGGAGAGCTGGCATAAAGAAAAAGATGGAAATATTGACTACTGGAATGGACAACACAGGAAAGTTACAGCTGGTGCAGCATTTAGTTGGCGAGGACTTGATTGGCCTTACCCAGCTTGAGAAATTGGTAGCTGTCAAATATGTTATTGGCGCCTGTGAGAGTATGTCTAATATGCGTTTACCTCTTGGTGATTAAAGCTGACGCATCATAGATATAGGTTACCAATCCACTGATGTAAACACAGCGCAAAGGCCACTGGATCTTTGTTTGGTATACGATTTATTATGCACCCAAATAACCAAGACTCGTTCATACCGAGTGTTTGCCTTATTGGAGGAAATTATGGAGATGATGCTAAAGACGAAGGCAAGATTCCATATTTGATGACCTTCAGAAAATGCAACTAACAAATTTGCAGCGTCGTGCACTCTCCCAATGGTCAGTTGATCGTACTCTTGCTATAATTGCCATAATATGCTCCAGCAAAGGACCTTCTCTACCTGTCTCTCAAGCCGGCAATATCTTCATCCGTCTCTGTACATTAATGAAAGCCGTTCTTACTAACCACCGATTCCGCCTCGAGGGACATCTCCATTGCGTTATACAAGTTCTACAACCTCTTCTTCGCTGCCTCTTTACGGCCCATTCACACACCTCTAAGAGACTACTTCAAGCATTTGCACCGGCTCCTTGGCTCCCACAATTCCAATCATCCGCGAATTCCACCTCATCAAATGCTCTATCACAAAGAGCCGCCGAGGCTTTCACACGTCTTCTCACCCTCATCTGTGATCCCACGCCTAATTCTATCTCCCATTCATCGATGAACAATCTTACATCTGCTGTGGCCAAGGCTAAAAAGATTGCTGGCCAACACATGCACATTATACTTGAAACCTACATAAAATTTAACCTCGAAATGACGATGAAGCCAGACGTCAGGGCTGCTATGACACCCGGATTGTATGCCATCTTTGGATGTACTGATATGGAAGGACGAAAGGCTGTGGTTGATGGGCTGGACTCAAGCGCGAGAGCAGTCTGGGGAACTTTGTATAGAGATTGGGCTCGATTTGGAAGATGGAAGGGTGCCTAAGTATGATACACAGCTGGGATTTCACGAGGAATAAGTTGGATCCAGTTGACATGTAGTAGAGTTCATATGTGACGAGGTGATAAATAATTAGATACCATGCTTGGATTAAAGCAATGCAACTGTTTGAAGATCCAAATATTCCAGATCCCTCTAATAATTTGCTTTTGCCTATGTCGCATAGGAACTCATTCATGACACACACCTCCAATTTTACAGCTATGTGGTGCCTTCATGGGCCAAAGAGCTTAGCATATCTCTGGCATACTGCTTCTGATACTAAGTTAGCCGGTTTCATGCAATGAAGAGGCTTATAATCAGCATACTATATAATTGGAAAACCATGATCTCACATTCCAATTATTGTGTATGCCCTCTGCCTGACATCCATACGCCACTCATCGCCCTGCCCAAGCTTCACCGCTCTCGCCCAAAAACATCTGCGCCTCCCTCCAACCGTACACCAACTACCTATTCACTCATTCATCAATCATTCACCACCGTAGCAAGCACCCATTATATATTCACACAGCCTCTTGCCTCTACCAAAACAAGCAAATACTCTTTCTGGGTCCCTCTGGCTCTCTTGGCAAGTCCCCGCTTCGCGATCTCTTCTAACATTCTATAGAAAAGAAAGATAAACCGGATAATGCTATGCGTGACATGGTGACGTCTTAACTCGATTGCTTCCTTCCCTCACCCTTTCCCTTCCTCCTTCTCTTGGCGCCCATTTAGTCCAACATGAATAAATAATAATATTTCAAAAGAGATGGATATAGGAAAACCAAAGGGGTTAAAAAAAATTAAGTACAATTTCATTACAGAGATACAGAGAGAAAGTACTTGATACAATTTTTATTTTTGGCCAGCCAAATTCTGGGCTTGGCATACGACTGAAGTAGGAGATGGAAGCAATAACAAGGTAAAATTGCTGAGGCTATAGTAAGTTTGCGGAGGGGAGCACTACTTTTAATTGATGAAAATAGCTTTTATTTTAAAATGCTTTGTGGGAGGGGTATTTCTGTTTAATATTTTCTCCCAAATTACTGATCCATATCGACTTTTTATGACACCTGAACTCATAGCACGAAAGGACAAGCAAATTACACGACCGATATCAAACTTTTAATGTAGGCAGTAAGGCATGATGCTAACATGGTTTAGCATTTTTGTCATGTCTTAACCTTGAAACTTATAGCTTCAACATGCTAGTTACCCTGATTTCCAGATGCCGACAAGGACACCTTGTGTGTACATGTTTGAATTCTGGACTGCGCGGATTGGAGGATGAATGGATGGGTATATCTCAAACAGCGATATGTCATGCAAATCTACCGTGGCACTGCAATGCGACTCAAGATTCCATCCTGGTTGCCTTCCTTTACCGGATAACATAGTCAATACGAGTCCTTTTCTTCCTCTCCATCTTGCATGACGTCTTTGAGCGCTCATGTGCTTCAATCTTGCGCATACGTACTACCACTGTCCCTTAAATCCCTTTGACCTTGACATCTTCGCCCTTAATAGCTCCCCTACTAACATTCTCTAATTCTGCCTCAAGATCCTTTATCTCTTTTCGTTTCTCCGCTTTCAATTCATCCTTTTCCAATTTTACCCAGCCCCAATAAGTCAATTGATAAATAAAAGTTGCCATTAAGAGGGTTTTTGCAATTGGGCGGGTGAAGGTTTGGTAGAAGGCGCGCTGGCGGGCATTAGCTATGATTCGTATGTAAAGAACTGAAGCGCATGACTAGAACAGATCATGTAGGAAAGACACTATGGGTACTTGCAGTAGGTGGAGGAGTTTCTGAGGATTCGAATCGTCGTTGTGATATGCGTGCGCCCCTCATCGCCAAGTGTTTAGAGCTCCTCCAGAGACTCATCGAAGTGCGGTTCATTTTGAACAACCCTTTTCCTTCCGTTCCACTTCAATTATTTGATTTTTGATTGTTGTTCATCCCATTCCGTCGCATGACACCAAATTTGTCCATTGAAGTGAGGTCAGAAATGCTATGTTGAAGGTTCGGGTAATCACCGGGCTGTCTAGTGTCCCACTTATTCAAGCTTCAAGCAATCACATAGCGCATTGTCGCGAGGCTGTGACCTTCATTATATTTCTTCAACAATTTATTATACCGGAAGCCGCCTACCGCAGTAATTTACTTGAACCTATTTCTTCTCACCTCTTACCCTCTTCTACATCAAATAATATGGCTTCCAAAAAATACGCGCTTCTTCCAATGGAAGAAGAGGAAATAGGTCCTGCGAAAGTTGTAGCAAAGAAGAAGGAGAAAAGGTCACATCGCGAGAGCTCCTCGCGGCGTGACAGACACCGAGAAAGGTCCCCTCGTCGCGAGAGATCTCCTCGTAAAGATACAGAGCAGCCTTCGAAGAATATCCGAAATAAGGCAAATGATGATTATGAGGATCGATGGGGCGATGAAGAATATGTTTCTGAAGAAGAACCAGAATTCCAAGAGCCTGCTTCCAAACGAGTCAAAACAAGCCACTCAGACGATGACATTTCGGATTCAGAAAAAGAACGAAGGAGAGATCAAGCAGAGAAAGATGCTTTTGCGCAGAGGCTGCTTTCGAAGAATTCCGACAAGTCGAAGAAAATCCTCGAGGATAGATCCGACCCTCTCATGGCACAGCGGAGAGCTTTGGCAGACGATGCTGCTGCAAGGAGTGCAGCAATGCCAGATATAAGGGAAAGGTCGAGGCAAGAGTACCTGAAGAAACGTGAGACGGAGCGGCTCGCTCTGCTGAGGAGACAGGTCGAGGATGAGACGAGGGAGCTGAACGACCCTTATTCTAATTTGTCGCAAAAGGAGAAGGCAGAGTTCGCTAAGAACAGAGAGATTCTTCGACTTGCCGATGAGAGACTGAGAATTGATGATCACTTAGATGGCTATGCTATGCCGGACGATTATATCACGGAGAAAGGGAAACTCAATCAGAAGAAGAAACAAGATGCATTATACAAACGCTACGTCGAGAAAGATGAATATGGCCAGGAGAAATTTGTTACCGAGCATGAGGAATGGGAAAGGCAACAGGAAAAGCTAGCCAGAAACCAAATTCAAAGTACCGAACGAGTCGACCAAGGCGAGTATGATTACATTTTAGACGAGGAACAAGGAATTAAGTGGATTATGGATTCAAAGCTACCCGGACAGGGTCTGGATAAGGAAGCAAGGTTCCTAGGTGAGCAATTGAAAGCTGCTGAGCAGAAGGCAAAGACCATCGAGGACACGAGGAAGAACCTCCCAATTTACGCTTATAAGGACGAATTTCTAGCTGCTCTAGACCAGTTCCAGACTATTATACTTGTCGGTGAGACAGGATCTGGAAAAACAACACAATTGCCGCAATATCTTCATGAAGCAGGGTATACTAAGGATGGCATGAAGATTGGAGTGACCCAACCAAGAAGAGTGGCTGCCATGTCTGTTGCGCAGCGTGTATCCGAGGAGATGGGATGCAAGCTTGGAAATGAAGTTGGTTACGCCATTCGTTTCGAAGATTGCACGAGCGACAAGACTCTTATCAAGTACATGACCGATGGACATCTTTTGAAAGAGGTCATGATAACACCTTCTCTGGATGAATACCAGGTAATTATGATTGATGAAGCTCACGAGCGGACTGTGCATACCGACATACTCCTAGCTCTACTCAAAGATCTTGCCAAAGAGAGGCCAGAAATCAAACTTTTGATCGCCTCGGCGACGATCAACGCACAAGCATTTTCGGATTTCTTCGACAGCGCTCCTATTTTCAATGTCAAAGGGCGTAGTTACCCAGTTGAGATTTATAACACCCCACAGCCAGAAGCAAATTACCTTGCTGCTGCTATTACCACCTTATTTCAGATACATACCTCTCAGCCGAGTGGCGATGTGCTGATATTTTTAACGGGTCAGGACGAGATTGAGGCGGCTGAAGAACGAATAAGTGATATTTCAAGAAAATTGGGCTCTAGAGTACCTGAGCTCGTTATTTGTCCTATTTACGCAAATCTTCCAACTGATCTACAAACCAAAATCTTCGAACCAACGCCCAAAGGTGCACGAAAAGTCGTCTTGGCAACCAATATTGCAGAGACTAGTTTAACCATTGATGGAATTGTATATGTTATCGACCCAGGATTCGTAAAGGAGAACATTTACAATCCGGCGACAGGAATGTCGAAGTTAGTTACAGTAGCATGTTCACGGGCATCTGCAAATCAGAGAAGTGGTCGTGCTGGTCGTGTAGGACCTGGAAAGTGCTTCCGTTTGTACACAAAATGGGCGTTCATGAACGAAATGGAAGAAAGTACCACTCCTGAAATTCAGCGAACGAATTTGAATGGCACAGTATTGCTACTTAAGTCACTTGGGATCAATGATCTTTTGACCTTTGACTTCATGGACCCTCCACCCACAGAGACCTTAATTGGTGCTCTTAATCAGCTATATGCTTTGTCTGCTTTGAACAACCGTGGAGAGCTTACCAAAATTGGTAGGCAAATGGCTGAATTCCCAACTGATCCTCAGGTTGCGAAGTCTATCATTGCTTCGGACCAACTGGCCTGCTCCGACGAAGTGTTGAGCATAATGGCAATGTTAGGTGAAAGCTCGGCACTATTCTTCCGGCCGAAAGGGGAACAGAGAGTGCACGCGGATAGTGCGCGAGCCCGCTTTACAGTAAAGGAAGGAGGTGATCACCTCACCTACCTCAATATCTGGAATCAGTGGGTGGATAATGATTTCAGCACTGTCTGGGCGAAGGAAAATTTCCTTCAACAGCGATCTCTCACCAGAGCGAGAGATGTTCGAGACCAGCTTGCAAAGCTTTGTGAACGTGTGGAGGTTACAATTGCCAGCTGCGGAGCATCAAATATCGAGCCAATCCAAAAAGCGATTACGGCAGGGTTCTTTGCCAATGCGGCACGATTACAACGAGACGGTGACAGTTATCGCACAGTCAAGAGAAACACCACCGTGTACATACATCCTTCATCAGTATTGATGGCAAATGATCCCCCTGTTAAACTGGTGGTGTATCATGAACTGGTGCAAACTACAAAGGAGTATATGCGCAGTTGCATTCCTATCAAGGCAAATTGGCTGCATGAGCTCGCACCACATTATCACAAGAAGAAAGAGATAGAGGAGATGGGGGAGAAGAAGTTGTCAAATCGAAGTAGGATATAATAATACATAGCACATAGCATGTTGAGTCTAGCCACGTCTTCCATTTTCATTCATGAGATTTAGCGGCACGTAGAACTCGATTTTTTGACTTGTTATTTTGTATCGGTGCATCCGTCTTTATGAGGCAAGACTTTGCTGGAGGCTCGCCGTGATATCGTTGAGGTCATTCAGATCTGCGCCTCGAAGAATAGATATGGCATTAGTTAGCTAAAATGATAGTCCACTAAAATATACATTTACCATTACCTTCCCATGAATCTGTTATATTCATATATGATCATAAAGTCAAAGAAAGTTGAAAATATAAAGAAATCTTGCATCCCATATCCCCTAATCATCTGAAGTTCTCAGCGGAACATAGTATAATATGATTTAATTTAGTTATGTTTACCTGGACCTCGGATTTTCGGCCTTTGGTGAAGGAGTGATATTAATCTATGGGTGCGTTCGATTAATAGTGAATATTCAACCATAGATGTAATTTCGTGTTTGTAACCCCGCACCAAAGTTGTTCTTCCTTTAAAAACTTCTTCCATCAAGTACCTCATTCAAAGACACCTTTTCACAGACTTACAAAACCTCTTAATCAGGAACTTATTACACTTGGTTGATAAACAATCTCAGAATACAATCCGAGCTGGACAGGATTGACCCTATTTTCCATTTACTTTTATTTTGCGATACTTTTCTATCATTTAGATATCACCACAGTTGGCTTCTAGTCAATAAATTGGAAAAAAAAAAAAAAAAAAAAAAAAAAAAAAAAAAAAAAAAAATCGAGGAACTTGACTTCAAGCTTTCAAAGGGAAGTATTCACTAAGTTTTCAAAGATCACACCTTGCCATATTCCTCGACTCATCTTTCAAATCCTAGTCAAAAACAATGGAACATAAGAGGAAGCGAACTTCAACTACAGCTCGCCTCTCGCCTAGACTATCTAAGAAGGCACGGGTTGATGGTCCTGAGCAGGAGATAGAGGTACCAGGGTCGAATATAGAAATGCCAGAAGTGAAGATCGAATCACCTGGGCTAAAAGAAGCACTGGTCGCTGGTTAGTAATTTCAACAGCTATTCCTTTAGCAATAATCTAACATTGCTTGTTGTTGACCTCCTGGGATCTTGGCAGCATATGCATATATATTGCATGATGCATATAAGGAGCAAACAAAACTCAACTTTTAATTCATTCTTTCCTTTTTGGTATACTGTTTGTTTGCTTTCAATATTTTGATTTCAAAGCACTTTAATTCCGAAGGCTGAAGACCGAACCTTATTCCTTCATTTTTTGAATATATACTCGCAGCTTAACTGCTTAGCTAGAGAATCAATCAATTCAATCTGATGCTCTTTCTGGTCTCAAGAAACCCAATACTTGTAGCTTCACCTGGGGAAGACCTCGAAAAAGAAAGCGACACCAATGGCACGGACGAAGATGACGAAGTAGAAGACTTCGAGGAAGAAGAACTAGAAGAAAAAATTGGTGATGAAGGCAAGGATAGTGATGACGAGGAAGATGGTGATTCAGAGGATGAACCTTCAGAATCTGACTCGTCAGATGAAGAAGATACAGATGAAGAGGAATATCTGGTTAGTCTGATGCTTCTTAGTGTTGTCAGATTCAACGCCAGGGTAGGAGTTAGGGATGGGCGCTTTATGTAAAGCAGGGCTGGATTTTTATGCTCTAGGGAATTACAAATTGGCCATCCCTAATAGAGCTGCTGCGATTCGAAACGTAGTGTTTATGGTTTGCAAAAGTACCCGTGCCACGTAATCGGCTTTTACAGCCGAGGAAAGTTGAAGATGCCTGAAATAGAGCATGGGAGTGAGTGATGCTCCACTTTCTCAATTTGTTTTCCGCTCAGTGAACGTTTTCTAATGTTGACATCTTGTGTTTTTATTGGTCGATATATTACTTCTGCTGCTCTCCCTGCATGCCGCAGACCTCTCTCTGGCGAAGTCCTCGGTTTGCAACGACTTCAGGTTGCGCATAACGCTACTGCCGGAAATGCATCAGTAATTGCTAATGGGGCTTTACCAGTGGCTGTTGCGCGCGCGGGATTTCCCTTGAACGTCAGACCCTGGGTGCAGGAAGTCATCACTTCAGATTGTATCAATCAAAATTATCAGGTCCCAAGATGAGGGGGTATAATAAGAATGGGACCCCAATGACTGGGTTTTACTTTCTCTGAGGAAAAAAGTGTCAAAAGAGGGACCTGCGAGAGTAAATAGAGTAGTCACTCACGGCTTAATGATATTTTCTATTGCAAAAGATCAGGTACAGAGCACTAGAAAATGTATATGATATCTAAGCAACTTAACCCATTCGAATCTAAATCCAGTATCCTATCTTTTTACCGTATCTTGGCATTCTGTATCACTAGATCTAGATAGCCCTAATTAATCCTTGGGTTTCCCATTCCATAGCTAGATAATATTGCAAGAATCTAGATCATCTAGTATCTACATCCACCCCTTCCAAACCTGAGAATCCTCGTCTAATTAAACCCCCAGTGTTTCAATACATAATACATATCAAGTCTAGTACACTACTTTTGTACCACCCCTCTTTTGGACCACCTTTTCACACCAAAAATCATTATTTTCATTTATTAATAACTTTACAATTAATAAATGTAATTCAGCAAAATTTGAATTATAAATTAATTGTTCAATCATAAATAGTGTCTGAAAATTTCAAATTATTCATAATCAATCTTGTTGAGATTTAGAAATTTGAATTCTTGTTACGATCACGGATTTTACAGTAACCGATCGTGTGTTTACGAGATGCGATTCGATCAAATTAGTATGGGATTAAGGTCATGTGAGGATCTGAAGAGCACAGAATCTGTTATTATATGATTCACACCGATCCCACCGACTTAAATCAAGTGGGAGCGATGGGAAGGATTCCCACCGATCCCACCAACTTAAATCAAGTGGGAGCGATGGGATGATGGGATAGGGAGTACGAAGATCTATATAACTAGGAGGAATTCCCTCACTCTAGAGCTTCGTGCTCAAGATCAATCATTTAGTATACTCTACTATTAGTTACGAATTGCATTATTGTCATTACTTTAAGTTCCTGCTTGACGCCTAGTTATAAACCACCTCGAGAGCCTAGAGCACTTCCACGTGATCTAGACGGCAAACCTCGTAACACTTCGCACTTCCGTAGAACTTAAATAATGAGTGATTTATATAAAAGGCCAATATAGCCTCAGTTCTGCCCTATCAGCTTCCCACCATTCCCTGTGGAAGGGATACGATGTTTGCCGTCTAGATCACGTGGAAGTGCTCCAGGCTCTCGAGGTGGTTTATAACTAGGCGTCAAGCAGGGACTTAAGTAATGACAATAATGATATGCAATTCGTAACTAATAGTAGAGTATACTAAATGATTGATCTTGAGCACGAAGCTCTACACAAAGGAAACCATCCTGATTATATAGACCTTCGTCCTCCATTGGATCTCTTGGGTCCTGAGAGTTTGTGGACCTTCGATTCGTATGGACCTACGATTCGTATCCCTGAATATGCAGGGTCCATCACGTGACTTGGATCAGACTATATGTCTGTGCTTGCTGAAGGTGGGGAGACTCTACGAACCGATTACCATACAAAATTGTATGCGAATCGGTTTGCTTTTCCACGGGGTCTAAGCTCATATGGACAGGTTGACTGTTACTACGTAACAGTAAGGTCATTCCTTTTAACAATAAATTATTTAAAAAAAAATCTTTGTTATTTTATTCACTTGTTACAATTATAAATTGAATTAAATAAATTAAATTGAGTTGAAAAGAGCTCCGAGTCAGATATACCTGAGGTTGTAAGATTATAGTTATGCCAAGCTTTTTGTTATGTTTTCTATTGAAATATTTTAGATCAATCAGATTGAGCTTCACTTAAGCGAGTTTCTTATTTTCTGCGACCTACACCGGGTAAATTGCGGTACGTTACACGTGCAATAAGGTTTTGGTGTCAGCATGCCGACAATAAATTATATAATAAATATTTGTATTTCCCTTAAGGCTTGAGAAGGAATCTCTCCTGTTTCCCGTCGCTCGCTCATCATCCTCTCAAATATTTTACACAGGATCAATAACTACATCTCCACCATGATACACCTTGCTTTGTGCTGTGACTAGACTTGACATTCGCGGCTATCTACCCATCAAGCCGCCAAGTGAGTGGAATCTCACAAGTTTCCAGTTAGTTTAAAAAGGATGAGTTATAAGGCTGAGTGATTTTTACCCCTTTTTTACGTGAATCGCACCCCTTCCTCAATTATCAGCTAATATTAACCACCTCTATACTGAAAATCAGACTATAGGAAAAGAAAAACTATGATTCGCATCAGTCTCATCATTTCGTGTTATAATTCATAAACTCATAGCTATCATATGTATACTGTCTGCCAAAATCTCATGTATCCCATGTCCATGCCTACAACCCACAAAAAAGGAGTGGTAAACAAGCGAGTAATCTCAGCAAAAGGTTTATTTGTTTCCTAGATACCAGTCTACCAAAACCAAACTGCACCAGATCAAATTGCTCTTGCTCCCGATATCTCTAAAAAAAAAAAGAAATGAGATTTGTTCAGGAAATAAAAAAAGGGCTCGCCTTGCGAGAACGAAATGTATTTTTTCCTTTCCTTCCTTGCATCCTTGCCTAGGACCTTCCCCGCCCCCCCAACCCAAAAAAAGCAATTTATTGAAAAATCCCAACCCCCGAAATCTAAGTTCTCATAGCGTGTCTGTGAAAATGTCTCATGAATCTCTTCTCCTTCTTACCAGCAGCTTCCTTCGAATAAACACTCAACGCCAATCCACCCCCACAAGTCTCATTTCCATCTCCCGCACAAGCCATATTACATTTATTCGCATCTAGCGTCTGACTGGGTACGTTCTCACCGCAGAAACACTGACCTCCGTATTCTGTTCCCGCAACACTGTAGCCCTTCGTGGAACAATATGCTACACAAGCTGTGTTGGTAACCTTGCCGATACCCGCAAATTCAACACCGGAGAGAACTCGGCTTGGTTCTTGATCCGCGTAACAGCCCGCGTATGAGTAGCCTGAAATGGCGGCGGGAGCGCTACTTGGAGAGCTGGAGCCGGTGGGAATTGCTTGACCGGCGGTGACGGAGACGGTTTTGTAGATTAAAGTTGAGGCGTGGACGGTTACGACGGAGGTAAAAGCTTGGCCGTTGGATGTGATGACGCTGGAGGATAAGAAATCACCACCAGCTCCTATTGCTGCCGCAACTTGGGTAGCTGCTGGGACTCCGCTGTGGGTACCCTTTTGAGAATGTTTGCCTGATGGAGAGCTTTCTGATGGGTAGACAGGTAGAGAGACTTGTGGAGTAGATACTGGTACTGCTGAAGTTGCAATTCCCAATAGAGATGATGCCACGCCGGATACAGAAGCTGCAACTGAAGATACAGCTGAAGAAGCACCAGCAACTACCGAAGAAGCTTTTGATGCGAGGGCGGAAGTAGCAGTTGCAACAACGGAGGAAGCTACATTGCCAACGTTGGTACCCCATGGTGTGACAGGGTTATTACCTGGCAATAAAGACATGGATCCAAAGATAACTTCATCAATTGGTGATGGGATATTACAGGTTGAAGTGGGATCATTCAAACCACCGATGAGACCTGGACATTTGTCCATTCCGGAATCACCTGCATCGCAGTTATCGATGATTTGTTGAAGAGTTTCGACATCCCAACCTGAAAGCTGTGGATTTGTTAGTATTTTGAAGGCATTTACCAAGAGTGAAGATATCAACTTACGAAATCACCGTGGAAGCTGTAGCCAGTTGGATCTCCATTGGAAAGAACGAAAGGTTGCTTTCCTTGTCCTGGTGTCCATAGATGTGCAAAGAGAGGAGTATTGTAGTAAACCTCATAGAAGATATGAGGAGTATGAACCCAACCCTCCGGGCAATTTCCGTTCGTGGGCCAATCCATGTTGTGCTTATAGTCACTCAAGGGAACAGCAGGGTTATAGCATGATGGAAAGTGAACATCAAGACGCATTGGAGAAGCAAATCCGTCACAATTCTGATCCGGGAATCCTACACCGGCTCCTTTGTTTTCTGGGTCCTGAATTCCTACACCGTGTAATCCGTCCGAGTTTGCAGGCCATGATGGAGTTCCGCCATAATCGGCACGAGGACAGGTGATTTGAACTGGTTGAGGAGTACCATTGGCGTAGTCGACGACGGATCCTGAGCCGTTGGCTGGAGGAGTACGAAGATTTGGGTTACCGACTACCATACGAAGACCTGGTTGGAAAGCGGTGATCTTATCGGTGGTAGGCTCAAAGCTTGTATAAAATTAGTACATCTATTATTGAATGTAAAACACTTTCACCACTCACAAGTAATAGACGTTCATGTAGAACATAGGCACGGATGTGATATTGCTGGGATCATTTGGATCAATGAAGTACAATGACGGGGTCCAGTAGTTACTCTTATCATTCTTGACAAGTGATGAAGTGCAGTTTGAGTGCAAGGCCGTGGTGTCGTCCATAGTCTCAGCAAAGGCGCTTCCTCCTTGAATCGTATGAACGTGGCTTCCAACGGTTCCTGGGTTGATGATTGGATCCATACGGGCGGTAAGAAGAGGGCCCTCCCCATAGAAATGATTGACAGCGAATGTTCTTGCAGTCGAGGAGTATGCTGCTGCCGAAGCAGCGAATGTGCCCACGAGGGCCAATTTTGAGAAAACCATACTGGCTGATTGGGTTTAATAGATGGGCTTTATTGTAGAATATTTACTTTGAAGTGTTTTCAAGTCTGATGATGTGGAATCTTTAATGTGACTGTGGTTGCTTTGCAAGCTAAAGGATTGTTGGGAAGTGATGGAAAAACACAAGAGTTACTGGCCTCAATTGATGTTTGATAGAAAAGAAGAATCTGTATCAACAGAGTAGCAAGTGAAGGAATGAATAGCACGCAGGAAACGAATAAATGAGTGTGATGTACAAAAGTACGAAAGTTGCGTTGTGAAAGTGTTGAAAAATTTGAAAATGAGGGTGAGGAAAGGAAACATAATATATATGACTATGGTCCGTAGTTTCTCACAGTATGCAGTAATACCCACATCAGGGCGAGAAATCATTGAATGTATACTAGTACAGTATGAAGCAAGATTAGGGTCAGAAAAGGCTCAGCCCAGAACCGGGTATGCAGGGGAGAGATTGGGGGCAAACTTGATGGCTTGACATGGTTCTGACTTCCCCATGTATTACCATTCGCTGTCTTGCGATTTACGGCATTAAAGTGGTAGATCCTGATATGACAGATTAATCACAGGCGTCCCCAGTGAATGAAAGAATTTGGTTGGGAAAGGACATGGAGTATGAAAATGGGGAGATCCGCGCGGAAATGTGCTTGATGCCATTTTTGGTGGTAAAATAAGTGAATTGGAAGCAGGAACCCATATTGCAAGGTTAAGTAGGGATGGGAAGATTGTCCGAAAGGATAGGATTGGAGAGGTATTGGTTCATTGGTTTCCAATACTAAGCTTTTGGTACCTGACATCCGGGCTGACTATCCGATGACAAGGGGTTGAACAATGGCGAGCTATCTTAGTGGTTAAAGGGAGAGGAACAATGATCTGTTCCTAGGGAGTTAAATAATCCTCCTGGAAATATCCCAGTCGTTTCTATACTCAAAGCGGTATCATGCGGCAACTATCTGATAGCTGATTTCTCACTAAGTCGGCCACTTGGCATTAGTCGATTGTTTCGAAACAGCTAACCCAGTCAAAAAGTCTGGTTTAACTCGCTGCCATAACAATAAAAGCAAGCTCCTGTAAGAAAAATCTTGCCAATCAACTGTCCCATGGTATAGGTAAACTGTTCTTCCCGTGCTTTTTTTCCCCTGAAGGCGTTTTTTTAATCTAAACTTATGTTCTCCTAGTGGATGGAAATGATCTGCACTTAAGCTCTTTTGAGTTTCGAAATATGCATCATACCACATCAATCTTATCGCAAATAGACCACAAAAATATCCACTCCATTTTGATCTGATTCAAAGTTAATCTGTCACGTCATGAAAATCAATTAGATTGTCCGACTTTGCGGAGGTGAATCTAGTGTTCGAGAAACCCTGGAGATTAGCTACCTATCCCTATTCTCGTGGTAAATGAGCTCCATGAGACTAGAAAATCGTTGTGATATGGTAATTACCATATTAGATTATCTTTCCGATTTTTCGGTCTCTGGAACACCTTCCGATAAGAATAAGACCTGCATGAGGTTATCAAGGCCATCAATCTTTAATAACAAAAATTCAGATGAACCAACGAAAAGCCCAACTGGCATTGGACTGTGTTTCGAGAATAGGTGCTAAACCCATGGTTTGTTAGTCTGGAACGTCTCGATTAATGATATGCTCTATAGTTTCCCCTGGGCAATCCTATGAATAACCTTCCATCCTTTCAGTGTGACATTAAGAGTATACGATCAAGATCGTGATGGTAGCTTTCCGTATTTCCATATGGATTAAGCTTCAAGAAAAAGGATTACTCCATCGTCCCAAATCTTGGCAGGGTTAAGACCGAACTGATCCCCCTCGATCTTGGGGGTGTGATCTGAATGTCTGGTCTAATCATGCATGAAGTTTGCACGAGTGGAAAATATCAAGATTGTAAAGACAAGAGGACTCAACAACATAGGTTTCACGTAGGACCCCATTGAGTTAACGATAGGCATCTCAAGACTCTCATCGAAGAATCTATGTAAGAATTATTAATTACGTGCAGTATGTTGAGCTCCGACCTGCAAAAGACATGGTCAAACAAAAGGCCGTGAAGCGTTGTGAAAATCAGCGGCAAGGGCCCTCTCTGATATTAACCCCTCATTCCACCACATGATTTGCTGGATATATCATGAGGGCGGCAAAAATCACTTTCTTGACGGGCACTTTTCGGCTGCCTATTCAATTTCTATTCCTAAAGTCTAAAAAAGATTCAATGATAACATCAGCGGCAATAAGTCAGCGTATAGGAAAGTATTTAACCCCTAAATGGATGCTATATTTCTTCCATTGGTTTTCGAGCCATGCCGCCTCGTCTTAAATTGTGCCCCTGCATAATAGCGTGCCGTTGTGCAGTGTTACATCGTCTAGTCCACGCGTTTGCGGTAGGTTGAAAATAAATATCAGCGCAAGGACGGGCTCCACCTACAGTCGTACTTCGGAGAAAAAGATAAGATGCTAGAAAAGTTTTTGATGGTATGATAGGTACTCAAGTGGGTATGTGGACATTACTGCATGGCGACACCAGAAATAAATAAATGGCTCAGACCTTTTGCGCTCGTGAGGCTTACTTCATAACCCTCTGCAATGGAACCGCTTCATGCAGCTAACTGATCGCTCTCTCATTCCAGAATCTCTCACCTCATACAATAACCATGGAAGTAAATTCTCAACAAACTGAGAACCAAGTCAACAAACAACCCAGCAAAAAGATAAAATGAAAATGAAACATGCAGGCAAGCAGGCAAGCAGGCCATCAATGCTGTGTGGCCCGATCGAATATCCATGGATAGTAATATCAACTAGGTCACCGACTCGAGCTCATCTCCGGACTCATGGTTTCGTGGTAAGGAGGTCCGTAAGCTGCCAATTCCCGCGTTCTAATCGAAACATTTTCGGAAGCCTTTGAGGATCAATGATCGTAAAAGTTTGTAACACGCCGAGACAAAGTGCATTTAACGGTATATGAGTATGTATTTTGTACCAAGTCACTGGAATTTAGTGGTACACGCTCGTACCTCATGAAGCACTGGCTGCAAAAGGAGAGGTACTGGGCACTTGTACTCCGTAATGGCTGGATGGGTTGTGACCAAATAAAGGATCGATTGAGTTTTCGACAACCTCAAGTTTGTATGTGTAAACAATTGAATGTGGTAATGATACAAATACTTCAATAATAAAGGCGACATTCAAGTATCTGGTCAATATAAAAAGCATAGGCTGCCAAAGCTGGAGATTTTTCTTCCAGAAATAATCTGTACATCTAAGGGGATGAAAGAATGAGTGGATGAAGCGATAAGCGATAAGAGAATTTCTTTCCTCACTGCCCCTCCATCAACCCCCCTCCATTCTCATCTTAATCTCAAATAACACTCACTACCTACATCACCACAACTTATACCTTTCACTAATTACTTAAACCCTCTTCCAATCCAAACTCTCATTTCTCTCATCATGTCACCAATTCCCATAACAATCCTCACCGGCTTCCTCGGCTCAGGGAAAACGACTCTAATCCTCAACCTCCTTCCCCAACTCCACGCCCTTAACCCCTCCTATCGTCTCGCTCTTCTTAAGAACGAATTCGGAGATCTTGCCGTCGATTCCCAGCTTGCTTCTTCATCTTCGATAACTTCTGTGCGAGAAATGCTTAATGGATGTATATGCTGTAACCTCGTTGGTTCTCTATCTTCCGCTCTTCAAGAACTGCAGGATAGTTTACCAGTAAAGGCCAATGCATCTACGGGGAAGGAAGAAAAAGGGAGTCTGGATAGGATTATTATTGAGACGTCCGGGTCTGCGTTTCCTGCTACATTGGCCATGGAAGTTAACAGAATTGCGAGGGAAACGAAAGGGGCTTATGTGTTAGATGGTGTGATATCAGTGATCGATGTAGAGAATTGGAAGGGGTATGAAGATACGAGTTATACGGCACGATTACAGGCGAAATATACGGATTTAGTAGTTTTTAATAAATGGGAGGGGGTTAGTGAGAGGAGGTTCGATGAATGTTTGGATAGGTTAGGTGATTTGGAGGTTCAGGTTGCGTGGGTTAAGAGTGATAAAGGGTCAGTTGGGGTAGATGTTGTATGCGGAGTTGATGGAGGATTGGCTAGAGGGCTAGTGGATGATGTGGATGGAAAGGAAAATGGACACTCCCATGATCATTCGAATGGGGATCACAAGCACGAACACCCCCACGATCATCAATCCGAGGTCGAAGTCCTATCCATAACTCTCAAATCTTCGTCCCCTTCCTCAACAATCTCCCTCCCATCACTCACTAAACTCCTCACCAAAGCACCCAAAGACGAAGTATACCGAATTAAAGCAGTTTTATCCTCAAGCTCTCCTATCCCGCCTTCCGACTCTTCACTCTCACCACCTGAATCCGAGACTTCTGCATCATCATCCTCATCAAATTCTACCACTGATCTCGCACCAAGACCTGCGAAATATATACTTAATTGGGCTTTTGGACGCTGGACTAGCACAAAAATGAAAGAACAACAATTAGAAAAGGAACATGAGAGCAGTCAAGGAGAAGGAGTGGTACTGAGAATGACGATTGTGACAGCGAGGGACGAAAGCAATAAGTGGAAGAAGAGGATCGAGGGCGGTGGTTGGATAGAGGTCGACGGTGGAGAGGGAGAATTGAAGGTTGTGAGGATTTCGTGATATGAAAACAAATGGCTGAATATAGATATAAAGACTAGATAGAGCGCGTTGAGATTGGATTACATGATGCGTAGATACCTTGTTTTGCTCTAGACATAGATATTTCTTTGTATATATACACATCGTTAAATGGGAGAAATGAAAATGATAAAACAAGTATAGATGGCTAAGAGGTCCAGTCTGATGTTGTAAGATTATCTACAGCCTCCGCAACTACTAGAGCCTTTGGATTTTAGACATTTGGTTCTGCAAGTGCATATAAACCCAGATCCGACATCTCTGACTTTCCATGAATGTTTGTCTTTGTCATTTTTCGAGTTAATTACTCAATTACTTAATGATATTATTGGTGCCTTGTTATCATGCCTGGGTATTTCTGTATTTCTGAAGAATTCTATAGGCTTGTGAGTTGTGAAGTAATCCATTATCTTGGTATTAGTAGTAAGTTTATACATGTACAGTGGTTATTGGAATCGATGTTTTGGAGGAGGGTTGTGTATTGTTATCATTTAGTTGGGCTTGGTATGTGATAATTGATATATGGTAATTGAAGTTGAAGTTGATTATGAGCTAGAGATTGTAATGATGATAATAGAGGTAAGCTTGAGTATTCCGTCTTAGTAATGATATTAAAGGATAGTGTTTAATATGAACATATCGAAGGCGGATTAACGGCCTGAATCTCATACTCGGCACTACTATTACTCAATGTCCTACTCCAGATTTGAGAATTGTGTCAAATTTCATGTTTAGATGGGAGTTAGATCTTGGTTTTGGAATATTCTTTTATAGTTTTATTTGGATTCGATAATAGATGAACTCGAGGGGTTGGATGTGTGATATTTGGAATATGTAGGTCTTGGTGGATGTCTTTTTCGTCTGGTGGAGAGGGAAAGTGGAGGAGAGGGGAGAGGGGAAGGGTATACGAGGAGAAATAGATAGATAAAGAAGAAGAGGAGTAAGATAGGATTGAGAGGAAGTGATGAAGGTGAGAAAGAAGAGGGGAAGGGGGGTACGACGAGGGAAGAGTAAAATTTCGCGAGGTTGGGAAGAAAAAAGAAACGGCGGGGTAGTATCTCGCATTTGCTTTTGCGGTTAGTTCTACAGCAATAACTACAGGCTAGTGTTATCCCTCCATAGCCGCATCTTCTCTGGGATATTGGAGGGTCGGATATCGAACTGGGTTATGGAAGATGAGGAGTATAGGGGTGCTAGAATGGGATCAGAAGGAGGGCGGTGGGCCTATTTTTATGAAATTTACCTTCAACACAACACTCGTACACATTGGTGCATAATGCCTACAAATGCCTTAATACTCCGTACTCATATCCTCTAGAGCCTTCACAAGATGTCTGCGTGACCGAATCTCTAAGTTTATAGTAGATAACTTCTGGGATTAGCTAATAATCAGTTACAAGTGTCCCAGTATGGTTCTTGAATGTCGGGGTTGTTCTCAACACTTCTTCTTGCAGCTTCATTGAATCTAGGTTCATCATTTCGAATTTTCATTTCCGGAATGTCGTTCTTGATAAATAGCTTCTAACCAAGAGGAAAGGGAAAATGATAAATGCAATTTTAATAGCTACACGGTCTTTCGGTATCTCAGTCTCAAGCGACCTTATGTTATGTATCACCAGTTTGATAAGAGACGAACTTCCGCTCTTTTCTAGAACGGCACGAAGTCGTGACTGTAAGTATTCCTCAATAGAATTGATCTTGATAATCGTCTTTAGATCTAAATTATGAAGTAGAAGTATAGAAGATGCGAGCATCTACCCAACGCCTCCTAGAAAGTCGAATGTAGATTTGTGGGTCTGTCCTATATTCTACACTATGTATGCAAGATAATAATCTACCTTAACATAATGGATCGGAACAGAAGTGATAGAGATAGTGATGCGAGGTTCTGTATTGTTGAGTGTGTGGCATAAGAAGGGTGCCTTTCTCAAGAAGTTTAAGGTTTCACACCAGAAGTGAGACGGCTCGATGGGGAAGAGTGGTGAGATTGGATTTAGGTATGGAAAGCTAGAGGTGCTATTTAGTAATGAAGGGGTTTAGGCGAGAAGTGTGGATATAGTATTAGCTAGATTATGGGTCTTAGGGAGTCATGTCTAATAATCATAATACTAATAACGACATAATATCAAAATCATAATTTTGAAAAATTTATCCTACTATTCCCTTCGCGATTCAATACCAATCAATGTATAACGTCATTTCCCCCATGTGATTTTCCTCTCTCATTCACAAATTGTCCTATCAACGAATCGCAAATCTGTTCGATCCGACAACCTCGGCCCGGTACGTACTACCCCACAGAACCCCTTGTCTTATACTCCACAACACCTCGTTACTCCTTATCCGCTTTACCCCATATTATCCATTTGTATCGCGTCTCCACCATGATTCACTCTAGTCAAGATCCTCTTCTCCGCATTTTTCTACCTCTATATCAGTTAAGGTTTTCTATCTCTATAGATCCTCCCTGAAACCTCAATTCCAAGTACAATAAACATAACAAACAAGCAGACACGAGTAAAACGAATACAAAATGGCAACTCAAGGACCGCTGACCACATCCCTAACCACCGTACTCGGAACAAAACATCCTATAATTCTTGCCGGTATGGCCCGTACATCTGGCGGACCACTAGCCGCAGCCGTCAGTAACGCAGGCGGTTTGGGTTGTATAGGAGGATTAGGATATACACCGCAACAGTGCGCGCATACATACCCAACAACTCTTAAACCAACGCACTAACATCACCCCAGACTCCGCGAAATTATCCACGATTTGAAATCCCATCTTAAAAACCCATCTCTTCCTTTCGGTGTCGATCTCGCTCTCCCTAAGGTAGGAGAGGGTGCTCGAGCTACTAATCACGATTATACGAACGGACAGCTCGATTCATTGATCGATGTCACGATTGAAGAGGGCGCGCGTTTGTTTATATCTGCTGTGGGAATTCCTCCTCCACATGTAATTAAGCGCTTGCATGAAGCGGGGATTTTGGTAATGAATATGGTTGGGGCACCTAAACATGCTATTAAAGCATTGGATGCAGGTGTTGATATCGTGTGTGCGCAAGGAGGAGAAGGAGGCGGACATACAGGTGATATACCGAATTCGATATTGATACCTGCGGTGGTGGATGTAGCGAGGAAATATAAACCGGCGATGTTGAAGGGGAGGGAGGCGCTTGTTGTTGCTGCGGGGGGAATATATAATGGTAGGGGATTGGCGAGTAGTTTGATGCAAGGAGCGTGTGGAGTGTGGGTTGGAACGAGGTTTGTGGCAAGTGAGGAGGCGGGATGTAGTAGGGCTCATAAGGAGGAGGTGGTTAGTGCCAGGTTTGAGGATACGTTGAGGACTTTGGTGATTTCGGGGAGACCGTTGAGAGTTAAGATGAATGATGTACGCTCCTCTCTCTTTACTCCTCATATCTCACACTTGATCCCTCTATTTATCTATTACTCATCATACTAACCAAAATAGTACATACAATCCTGGGAATCACAACCAGAAAAGATCAAAGAATTAACCCAGAGAGGTATCACGCCTCTCGAATACGATATGGAACAGGGAAAAGATGTAGATATACCACATTTAATGGGTGTAGTAGCTGGAGTTATTGAAGATATTAAACCAGCTGGAGCGATCGTTGATGAAATGATTAGCGAAGCGGTAGACATGTTGAAGAAGGCGGATGGTTTCTTGAGTAGTAGTGCGAAGAGTAAATTGTGAGATGGGATTCTGGAAAGAGGAGGTGGGAATGGGGAATGCAGTAGAGATAGAAAGCAGTCATTGTCATTGCTAAATGAGAATGGGAGCTGGAATTGGAATATTGAAAATAGTATGGATCAGTGGTATGAGATGGGTCCTGACACCGAGAATCTATTTGATTCTAAAATTATATTGTTGAATCTTGGTTTAGGTACTAGGTAGATATTATTAACTACAATTTAAAAAACCATCTAATCTAATCCAATTCAATCTAATCCTATTTTCAAACCGAAAACCTAACATACAAGTTACAAATCATGCATTTGCCTTTCAACAGCGATGAGCTGGCTAGATTCTCACTACTCGGCTTTCCCAAGTCAATCTAATGCCGTTATCTTTTCTTTGTGTTCTCTTTTTTGTCAGTCTAGGATCTTACATTCATCAATCTAGTAGATGCAACATGAATAGCATTGTGTTTTGATCATTGGATTCCGGATTTTATTTCCACCATACATTCATTACCAATGCAATCATGAATATGTCAAAGATCACTATTGTTATCAAGTAAAATAAAAGTTAAGAGTTAATTCAATCACGTCTCGAACAGATATAACAACAAAACATTTTCTCATTACAGTATATCGTTGCATAGAAAATGAATGATAGATCGCTCTATTGTTATTCATAGCATTTATAGATATCCCGTATTCCATTCATACAATAAACACCATCCCAATCCCAATTCCAAGCCTAAACCCAAACCCTAACTCAAACTCCTGTGATGACCGAATCACCGCAAAATAACTATCATTCAAGTATAGCGAGCACTTCGCATATCTTTCGTCTTTCCTCCTTGTAACGCCTGTCTGCTGTTCCACCGCCTGTCTTATCGCCTATCTGGGAAATTTATCTACCCCCTCTCCTATACTTACTCTCCCTGTACCACAGTCCACAAATTTCATTCCAGCCATGTGTCGTGATTAGTCATCGAAAGTTATGGTGTCCTTAGATCGTGCTTTGACCATTCCAATCCCCTGCACGCCCGCCATAGGATGTGGTGAGCCGCTGTGGTCGCCAAAATTCCATAGCTGTACTTCTATGAGACAAAGTCTCCTTTGGGTATATCCAGGAACCGTGAAATCTATAGAACATTCTAGCTGGCCCATGGTGAAGGTATGCATTCCCTTGACTGTAACATGAAATCTATTCTGTAATAC